GTCTAACCAGCTAAAACCGCACAGCTTGACGTTGATTGCGCTGTCTGGTAGGCTTTCCGCTACTTATCCAGCTAGAACCACCCTAATAATAGTAATAATAATCCTTGCATTTGATGTAGCACCTTTTCACATTTTCGAGACGTTAGGACTTTGACTTGCAGAGTTAAGGCAGGAGCTGAGTGGGACGCTTTCCTGCCCCCAGTAACTGGTCTGCCCGTCAAGGTCCAGCTGATGAGTCAGGCTGACTGGACTGTGGACCCACCTGGCTCAGGAACCGGTCTACCAAGCCCTCCACGGAGGGGCTGGCTCGATTCCGACATTCTGTTGGCAAGCGTGTCATAGCCCAGCGAGACCAAGGCAATCAGGAGAGAACAGAGATTCATAGCCCCTAAACCTGAAACAAAGATGTACTTGAGCAAGAAAGTAGACCTGGCTGATAATTCATCTCAATTGCTTTTTGCTGTCAGACTGCAATCGGAATGGTTAACGTCCGAAGAAAGAAACCAACCCAGTGAGAACTGCTCACTTTACCTTCCATTTACACTAAGAACCGCAGCAAGTTCTGCAGCACGGGTTTGCAGGAGGCCATTTGGAAGACGAGCAATCTGTGGATTGCCTTGGTTTTATTGGAACGCAGTACACAAGTGACCTAACCGTGGGCAGGATGTGTAAGGCCGTTCGATTCAACCGTGCAAAAGTTTTGCATTGAATGCGATTGTGTCAATGTCTCTCCCCTGAGTAACAAGGTGTGATGCAAAACACATACAAACCGTGTTTGCATTTCAAATTGACAGCTTCCGAGGACGTCTTGAATTACTCAGGTACACCTGTGAAATACAAATGATGCACAATTGCACCATTTAACTAGAGAATACAGGAAGCGTAAACTCTGATCTTTACAACAACAACAACAACAAGATTCCATTTATAGAGCGCCTTTCACGTCGGGAGGACGTCCCAAGGCGCTGGACAGTTGGGTCAGGGCCCGAGCAGGGGGAAATGGTCAGGGTGAGGGGAGGGAAGGGAGGGAGCGAGGAGGGGGAAGAGAGTCGAGAGGGGAGATGAAGGCACGGTCGAAGAAAAAGGTCTTGAGACCGGCCTTGAAGGAGGAAAGGGAGGAGGCGGCGAAGGCACTGGGGGATGGAGTTCCAGAGCCTCGGGGCTGAAGGCCCGGCCACCGATGGTAGGGCGGTTGGGGCGGGGGACGTGGAGCGGACCGGAGCCAGAGGAACGGAGGGTATGGGCAGGTAGGTAGGGGGATAGTAGGTCGGAGAGGTAGGAGGGAGCGAGGCCGTGAATGGCCTTGTAGGTGAGGATGAAGATCTTGAATTCGATCCTCTGAGGGATGGGGAGCCAGTGGAGGCGAGCGAGGGTGGGAGTGATGTGGTCGCGGTGTCTGGTGCGGGACAGTCCACGAGCTGCAGAGTTCTGAATGACCTGCTGCTTGTGGAGGGAGGTGCCGGGAAGGCCGGCGAGGAGAGAGTTCGCATAGTCCAGCCTTGAGGTGATAAAGGCGTGGACCAGGGTTTCAGCAGCGTGAGGGGTGAGGTAGTGCCATAGTCTGGCGATGTTTCGGAGGTGATGGAAGGCGGTGCCAGTTGTGGAGCGGATATGAGGAAGAAAGGACAGCTCAGGGTCGAACAGAACCCCGAGGTTCCTGACTGGCTTTGAGAGGTGGAGGTACATGAACTTTATATCAGTAATAGCTAACCTGCGGCCCACGGGCCGGAAGTGGCCCACGGGGCCATCAAAAAGTGGCCCCTTGAACATTTACACGAGTCTTGGGGTAAGTCTGCGTTTGACCATTTGTCCACAAGGTACACAGTCAATTAATTCACTTTACAGTATATTCTAACGCGATAAGCGGCTGTATCAAATGCAAGATTATTATTATGCATACATTTTCTTTTTTTTCTTGATTGAATATTTCTCGATTGATGGCATAAACGAAGAAATATTCAATCAAGAACATTTCATTTGTTGGCCAACTATAAAGATTGTCCCCCCACCCCCCACCCAGTTGCTTTATATAAACTCCGTAGTTACCTCTAATTGCAAAGCCTCGATAAGTTTCCAGCTGAGCTGAATGCTTTCCTCTTGTTTCTATTTTCCTATAGTTGAGATTCACCTGCAGAGAGAGAGAGATGAGGAGGAACAAGATCGTTTACAGCATAAGAAGCTCACAGAACCCTTGTGCTACCTCCCTCACCCCCCCACTGGACAGTAAAGATCTCTTAATAATAATAATAATAATAATAATAATAATAATGGCGCTTATTGGAAAGAGAAAGAAGTTTTCCCTGATGTCCTGGCCATAGGGAGTGTTTATGTGTGTGTGTGGGGCGGGATAGGGGAAGGGGAGGGAGGGAGAGAGAGTAAAATCAATAACTCAAACTTTGATTTATACTACATGTTATTGGTGAATTTCACGTCAGAAACGGTGTTGAATCAAATCTAACTCTGTATTCTAAACTGGACGTAAGACCTCTCGGGGCAATAGATTATTTATAAATAACGCAACGTGAAGGCATTATGATTCTACTTTGTGTTATTTTCTGATAAATAAGCGAGTCTTTATAGAGTTATTAATGTTTAATTACATAGTTAGTCACGTGTAGGCAGTACAATGCAGCGTGTGACAAGAAATATACCGGTCCAGCTGCCTTTACACCATAATCAATAAGTTATTTGTGTGTATATTATTAGTTATAGGACAACAATGATGTATGACATACAGTCAAGGCTGCTGTTTGCAACATCTAATTCCACTCCCCCGTAATCCCAAATCCCACGAAGACTTTAGTTTTTATTTTCCGTTGTGTTTTGTTTGTTTATTACGAACTCACGTGGGAAAATGTAGGATGTTCCGTTTCGTGAGAAATAAGAAGATTCGAGATAACTCAAAATGAGTCTAATCACTTCTCAAACAACAACATCAACAACATATTGAATAACAGTAATATCGGTTATTGACCCTGAGGTCCTTTCACCCATCTTGTCATTCCAATTGTGTGCATTCGCTCGGGTCTGTTATCCTGTTTGGCTTCCGAATGCAAAGGTATTATTGCAGTTCAAAAGAAAATCTCCTCTCTTCCCCCATCTCCCCCCACTTAAAAACAAGGCTCTGTCTGATATAAGTAAAGCTGATGAAAGGGATGGAAGGGAAGAGATCCATTAAGTCCAAAATGTCCACTCCCTCTCCAGAATGAGCAAAAACCTAGCACAGGCCACACTAACACACCAACTCTGACCCCTAGAGGAATCGTGTGTAGAAACCCTCCAAAGAGTCGAGAATCCTTGCATTCAATACATCGCCTTATCATGTCATTGAGACGTCTCAAAGCGCTTCACAAAATATATTGGAAAGTGGATTGACTTAAGTATTTTGTGAATGAAACGCGGCAGCACAGCGGTGTCCCACAGACAGCCGTGGATCGAGTGACCAAATTTTTTTGGGGGGAGTGATTATCCCAGGAAAGCAATCCGCCATTCGACTAACAACTGGGTTCCTATTTACTTGCTGGGTAAACAGAGATGCGTGGAGTGCGGAAACTTGCCTTAGGTTTTGCCCCGCCCGGGAATCGAACCCGGGTCCTCTCGCTTTCGAGACGAGTGCACTATATAGAATATTCATTCATTCATCCACACGTGTCCATTATTCAATCCAGGCTCCCTTCTTCTCTCCATTCACTGTCCCCCCACATCCTCCATTGCTGATCTCAGCCAGATGCTTATTCAGCTCAACCAAAGCCAAAGGATGTTGAAATTATTGCTTCCTTTTAAGTGAGCTAACAGAGAGTTTCCTCTTTGAAGTGGTACTGATGGTGAAGCTCCCTCTATTATAAGGATTCTTGCGTTCATCCCCTTTGATCTTGACTGCACAATACCATAGCTAAGCAACAAATAGTGGGGAAAGAACAAGAACCAGCCTCCTTTTGTTAATGAAGGTGGCCACACTAAGGGTGTGTCACTGGGATGCCCTGTGTGTTTTGCAGAAGACCACTACAGAGTTTGCCCTCAAAATACAGTCACGACACTTTACAGTATATGCAGTGAAGCGTTTTGAGACGTCTTGAAGACGTGATAAGACTCTATATCAAATGCAAGGATTATTAAATAGTAGTAGTAGTTACTAGAGTTCAGGGTGTCAAGATGAAAATGGAATGGTCGCTGAAAAGGGAAAATTAAGTGCAATTATGGTACATAAGTTGTAAGATAATCTACATATTAAGCTAAATTTCAAAAATCTCCCAATCATGTCTGCTCCAAAGGACAGCGACACCAACATTTCAAACCTCCCCCCAGCACTGTATTGGAGTGTCGGCCCAGACTGTCAGTTCAAACCCACAAGCTTTTGACTCAGAGGTGAGAGTGGTACAAACTGGGCCAGGCTGACAAAAGTAACTGGATTCCAGCAGTGGAACAGCGTGTGAGGTCTCCGTGTTGAGTTATCAGGAGTGACGAGTTAGGAATACGTATAAATGCATCCACAAATGTGGCCGGGATATTGACAGCGTGATGACTTAAGTGACAGCGAGTTATGAGGAGTTTACTGCAAATACATTCATCAGTCGTTCACACTTTTTTAATATATATAATGTATATATACAAAAAAGCATCATTTGAATATTCTTCCAAATAGGATTCCCCCCACCCCCCCCACAACTCCATCTTCTCCCCCGCACCCTTGCCTCCTCCTTCACCCCCCCAACCCCCCCCTCCCCACCCCCACTCCTGTAAATGGCAACTTTTACCATCTCCTGCCTGAAAGATTATCCGGCTCATTTTGAAAAATGTGTAATCCTTTTGCTGACATTTCTGAAATTAAAAACAGAGAGAGATCAATCTCACAGACATGGTTCCCAGTCGGAATTTGCAGGTGAATCTGCGGCTGACTGCATCCGAATTCTGTCCATCCGTGGGAGTCGACAGGGCGAGCGGGGGTGATGGTGGAGTGGGGGACGGGGAGGGGGGGGCAGTAGGGTGAGGTTCCGAGGGCCGGAGGGAGTGGGGGGTGGAATAGGATAAGGAGGGGTTCTGTCTCTTTAGGACTACAGCTTATCAATTTTGTCCAATCTTGAAAACGAAGATCCTGTTTTATTTTGAGCCTTCTTGGCATTTTTCCTGCAGAGAAGAAAAAATAAAAATAAAATTTCTATACATGATGCTTTTTTATATATATATACACATATATGTACACAACAACAACACAATTGCATTTATAGAACGCCTTTCACGTCGGGAGGACGTCCCAAAGCGCCGAACGGTCAAGTGTCGGGGCCCGAGCATGGGGTAGGGGAGGTGGTGTAGGGGTGAGGGAAGGCAGAGAGGTGGGAGGGTGATCAAAGGCACGGTCAAAGAGAAGGGTCTTGAGACCAGCCTTGAAGGAGGCAAAGGAGGAAGCGAGGCGAAGGGACCGTGGGATAGAGTATAATAATAATAATGATAATCCTTGCATTTAATATAGCGCCTTATCGCGTCTTCGAGACGTCTCAAAGCGTTTCACAGAATACACTGTACAGTGAATTGGCTGTATGTTTTGCTGGTGAAAGCAACATTATATGCAGTATATGCAATACTGTACTAAATGCTATATAATAATAGCATTTAATTGCAACATTTCTATATTGTTAAAGATGGTACAGCATTGTTGGAATAGAGAAGGGGATTTCTGTCTCCCGCTGTCCTGGCTAACATTCCCCCAAATAAAACCGTTCACTCACCTCACAATTGTTTCAGTGAAACTCTGAAACACACTGGGACCGCAAGTGTTATTTACCAGTAAAATCTCCTTAAAGTAACTTGGGCCCTACTCTCTTGTGGAGTCCCATAGCACAATGGTTAGAGCACTCGCATCGAAAGCGAGAGAACCTGGGTTCGATTCCTGGGCAGAGCGAAACCTTAGGCAAGTTTCCTTACTCCACAAGCCTCTGTTTAGCTAGCAGCATGTAAGAACTTGGTTGATAGTCAATTGGCGGATCGCTTTTCTGGCTGTAATAATCCATAAGACCATAAGACGTAGGAGCAGGAGTAGGTCATTCAGCCCCTCGAGCCTGCTCCGCCATTTAATAAGATCATGGCTGATCTCCTAACCTAATCCCATTTACCCGCACTATCCCCATATCCCTCAATCCTTTAGAATCCTTTAGAATCCCTTCAAAAATAAATAAATAATAATGATTTGGTCACTCAATCCACGGCTGTTTGTGGGGACGCTGCTGGAGAGTGACCGAAGGCACGGTCGAAGAGGAGGATCTTGAGACGGGTCTTGAAGGAGGAGGAAATGATTGAAAGCATAAGGCAAGGAGTGTCTGCAGCCGCAAATTACTCGAAGGGTTGGAGTGTCATTCATGAATCATTGGGGATGTCTCGAGCGGAGTCATCTGTTGTCTCCGTGTGATGAATTAGCAACATTTCGCCGACACTGCGAACGCACAAGTGCTACCAGCTCCTAAACGTTCGGCACAATAACAAGCAGCATGTTTTATTCATCTGGTATCGATTGATCCAATACACAAGGGCATTACTTCAGCCCAAGCGAAACGAGCGTGAGTTACTTTTCAACGTAACGCTGTCCAGATATGACATGAAAGTGCCACGTACTAATCCAGTTCCATCCAGCGCCACTTAACCTTGGTCGATTTCCCTGCTCCCGGTATTGTGACATTGTTCACGAAATAATCACCTTGCAATTTATTCAGCGTCCGTAACACTGAAGTGCCCTAGTGTGCTTTCGCAGGGGATCGCAGCTGTCAAGCTCGGTGAAGTTACCGACAAATTTGCAGTTGCATTTATTTTATAGGCGAAAACGCAGCAGCCAATTTGCGCCGGGTAAATGTCCCGCAAACAGCCGTGAAAATGAATGACCAATTTATCTGGAGGACTTCCGATAGTGGAGCGGAGGGGACAAAGGGGAGGGGATGTGCAGTGATATGTACATAACACCCGAATATACATTGTAGAGTCAGAACCAGCTATAACGCAGGTGGTTCCGTCAAATTCAGGTTCTAATGGGACACGCTATGAAAATAGCTACTGGTGAAGACTTCCTGATCATCAGGTCACCCCCGACGTCACTTCCTACATACGCAGGAAGCTGAACAGTCAGCACAGGAGGATGGAGGGAAAGTGCCCTTCCCGTGTACTTGGTCTACCGTGCGAACACACAATAAACAGACCCAGTTGTGTGGTGGGAAGGCGAAAATATTTCTTCTCACCTCCAACCCTGTTTGTCAAAATTAAATTAAATTTTAGCTATTAATCGGATAAATAACTTTCTCCCATATCTCACTGACCTTTTCACCTTCTTTTCATTCAACCACAAGAGGATCCCGATCAGGGCCAGGCAGAACAAGGACACCACAGTCCCCACTATAATGCCCACAATGTTATCTGCGAAAATAAAGAAAATTCACAGGAAAAAGGCTTAGCTTTTATTGGCTGGATTGGTTTCCTTCCATTCATCCATCTCCTTCCCCTTCACCCGTAACCATTGTCTGACAAACAAAAGCACCGGTCGACAAAAAACCCCACAAGGATTATGATTCAAAAGGGATGGTTTTGATGGAACAATGGCCCGTTTACATCAAACACTCTGAAAAGACTGATCAACCATTGCCATGCCGGTATTACTGCCGTGCCTTTATCAGTACCATGCCGTTATCACATAAATCCCATTTGCCTGCAACGCACAGTCACTACACTTCACAGTGAATCCAGTGAAGCGCTTTGAGATATCTTTGACAATGTCACGAAGCGACGTATGTGCAAGGACTATTATCATTACAGAACCCTTATCTATACCATGCCAATATCTATACCATGCCGGTATTTATGCTATGTCAGTAGCTATACCATGTCAGCATCTATACCTTGCCAGTATCTATACCATGTCCAATATCCACACCATGCCATATATATATCATGCCATAGATGTATCATGCCAATAGCTATATAACATGCCATATATATACCATGCCAATAGTTATACCATGCCATATATATATCATGTCAATATCTATACCATGCCAGTATCTATAACATGCCAATAGCTATACCATGCTATATATGTGTATCTAGACCATGCCAATATCTATTCCAAGCCCATATCTTTACCATGCCAGTATCGTCGCTGTGCTGGTATCATTGCCTAAACATAGTACACGTTTTGAACTTCTTGTGTACCAGGATTCAAGATGAAAGCGATCTGTATAGATGTGAAAAAAAATGTCTTTCCCCTCAGTCTTCAGCTGACTGGCAGCGTTTCTGAACCTCTGACAATCCCAGCGATATTTTCTCTCTAATCCTCCCAGTTCGTAACATCTGTGCATCGAGCTTTATGTTATGTAACTGCTGCAGAGCTCATTTTGGTGACGTCAGGTAAGCAGGTGTCAGATTGTCAGACGTCTGACATCCAGACAGAGACGTGGGGTGACAATATGATAGGGGATAGGTCGAGTGAGAGGCACTCTGCTTGGAAACATAGTTAGCCCAAAATGAGGGCACAGTTCTATTTCATAGCCAAAGAGGAAGGTCTTCAGTCATGATGTAAAAGGGAAGGAGGGGAAAGACATGGATTTAGGAAGGGAGTTCTGAAGCTTTGGGGCGCGGTAGCTGAAGGAGCGGGCATCGATGGTGGAGTGGAGGGGACAAGGGACAAGCTGGAGGTCGGAGCCAGCCGAGCGGAGGCAACGGGTAGTGCAATGGGGAGATAAGAAGGAAGGCAGGAAGGTAAAGTACTGAGATTGAGATCTTTTTGCCTCTGACTCCGAAACTCCGCAGGAGAGTGGCTTGCGCAGTTCACGTTCCTGATTAAAATTCATCGACATACCTGCACCAGCAGTCTCAATGCCTCTAATCATAAAGCACGCACGGAAGTCAAGCATATCGATTTATTACGCAGACTTTTGGGATGTGTGGTCTACAATTCAGAAATGGCTGAACACAAACACCAGACTGTTCAATTCAAAGCAAATGTGTCTTGGGCTGAAAAAAGTACGTCACAAAAGTGGGTAACCTGCACATGCTGGAGGGGGAATGAGAAATGGGGGTGGGCAGGTGGGGGCGAAATCCCTCAACAAACACAGCTTGTAATAATTCTAAGGAAATACCTGTCTCTTCCTCTCCAACTAACCCGGGAAAACATGAATGGGCTTTGAATAAATAACAGCAACAACAACAACTTGCATTTTATCTAGCGACCTTCACACGGGGTAGCGTCCCGGAACCCTCGATGAAATAAATAATAAAGAAATAAAAGTGAGCGAATTCATCAAAATGAATAAATAGGGCAAAGAAAACACATCTAAGGTGGCTAAGAGCAAGGGATCCAGATCTGAAACACCCACAGCATCCCTACAAATTAACAAGGCGTCAAGCACAAGCATTAACTCTAAAGTGATCCTCTGTGTGCGTGTGTGGGTGTGGGTGGGTGTGTGTACGTGTGTGTGGGTGTGTATGTGTCTGTGTGTGTGTGTATGTGTGTGGGTGTATATATGCGTATGTGTGTTTGTGTGTGTGTGCCATTTACAACACAGCTACAATTAGGATATGGATATACTTCAAGATTATGCATATCCTGGAGTCCGCAAGGCTTGGCCAACCCGTGCCTAATACTTTCCGGAATTAGGTAAGCAGGATGCATCCCTCCAAAGGAGAGAGAGAGAGAGAGAGAGCGCATTCCATTCGAACAATCTATCTCTGGGATTCCCATGTGGAGGTGGGATGCATGGAATTCTCAGTTTGGTTTGGAGACTCTTAAGCAACGGTGATGGGTTTCCATGTGTGGCAAGCACCCAGCTGACCCCCCCCCCCCCCCAAAAAAAAAATTATGAACGACTAACAGCTGATACAGAAGAAAAATAAATAAAAAGGGTTTATTACAAACCCTCTTCCCCTATGGATGGGTTTCTCACTTAGACACATGAGGTTCCGGCGACACAAAGAAGATAATTTCGTCTTGTAGCCAGTTGTACCTAATTTAATGCCTCCCCCGCCCCCCCCCCCCCCCCCCCCCACCGAAAAAAAAACATCAAAGACTGAACAGGTCATGTCCCGGGCAGAAACAGGTCAAGGTTTAGGCTTGTGGCATTTTGGTGTGGCTTAAAATATGTTCCTAGAGTTGACATTCAACAAATTAGAGGGCAACTTAAGTCGCTTCAATTTCCTAAACGTTTGCTGAAAGCCAGGAGTCTCTGAAAGAGAGGGGAACAAAGTGGTTTCAGCCTTTTGATTTACAAAAGGACAATACGTAGAAAAGCCGGCATAGACACAAAATACAGTTAGAAATAAACATAGAACAAGGAAAGGAAAACGTGAGACAAGGTGAGAATGAGACGCTTGGGTGAGAGGGATTACTTAAACTCATTCTTTTTTATTTTCTCTTTCTCTCATGTGCCATGCAAACAAGAGGACCCAGGTTCAAGCCCCACTTCAGGAATTTGAGCTCACTTTCTAGGTTGACATTCAATTGACGCTCAACTGGAGGAGTGCTGCATTGTGCTACCGATGAGATATTAAACCAAGCTCCTTTCTATCTGCGCCTGTTCATGTGGACATCAAAGGTGCCGTGGCACCATTTCAAAAGAGAAGGGAGTTTCTCTCTCCCAGCGTCCTGGCCAACAAACAGCCCCCCCACCCCCCCCCCCTCCATTAAAATTGGGCATTCAGTTCACTGGCTGGTTTAAGATATCGATGTGCATACAATTAGCTGCTGCCTTTGCCTGCAATACACACAGTCACTCAGTATAAGTCATTATTATGCAGTAGTGTTGCTGACATTTGTACGTTTTAAAAAGAAAACATATTTATTTTGCTCGGTTACACTTCATTAACGGGTTCAATAATAGACACTCCTGACATTTGAGCACCTTTACTTTTTCATACAATATTGATGCAGGTTGCAGCAACATAGGGCGTGAGCTGGAAGCTCAACAATCAGAATCAGCCGGTTTCATTGACAATCTCCAGAAAGCCAAGGAAGACTTCAGGCTGTGAGTCAAAGAGTAAAAAGAAATAGCTCTCACGCAATAGCTGTGGCTAACAATTTGACAGAAACCCAATTCATCTCGTAGGATCCTTGGGGTATCTGCAAGTTCTGTACGACTAAAAGCACGGTAGAGAAAGTTACCTGTAACTCAGCCGGAACCCAAATGCTCTCAGGTAAACATCTAACTAATTTCACTTAAGCAAAACAAACAAAATCACTGTGATCCTTTGAGTTACTGACCCACTGGGGTGAAAGTTGGCTGCTGATAATAAGACAATAAGGATCACAAGAGCAGTGTGAATGAAGAAGACCCTTTGGCCCATCTGATCTCATTCCTCCAGCACACCAGCCCGACCCTACCCCACATCACAGCATAAAGTTGCTTGGTAAATGAGTCCCAATGTTCTGACCTCAACCACACTTCCTGGTAACCCTGTACCGGTCCATTTCATTACCAACCACCAAATGCGTTTCATTATTCAAAGAGTCCTTTGAATATACAATATACCAGAACGCTCTGGTCTTCTTTATCCTGACAGTCTCTCAAGCTGTTTCGGATGCTTTGAAACCCTTTGCTCTGAAGTTGGTTTGAAGCCAAGCCAAGGCAACCCCTGTGGGTGAGCAATTTCAATCAGTGCAGTTTGTGAAAGTGGAGATTTCAGGTTGGGGCGGGTGGGGGAGGGGGTTGGCGGGTTGTGAAACAACGTGTTTGACGTGAGCATCGATGACAGTGAATTGGCAGAAGTCACTCTCTCGCTCTCTCTCAACTCCTAGTGTCCAGTCTCAGAGCATCACTGATGGATGCACGGCATTAAAGGGCACCGCATGGGTTTAGTGACAACGGTTGACGAGTTTTCTTTCTTCTAGAAATAAGTAGGGACCGAGTGAATCTTACACAAAAAATCAACAAGGTGTAAGAGATATGTTTTAAGGGAGGGGGTGATTTAAACCTTAGGCAAGCTTTCCTTACTCCACATGTTTCTGTTGAGTCCTGTAGCTCAGTGGTTAGTGCACTCGCCTCGCAAGCGAGAGGACCTGGGTTCGATTCCCAGGCAGGGCCAAACGTTGGGCAAGTTTCCTTACTCCACACGCCTCTATTCACCTAGCAGCAAGTAGGAACCCGGTTGTTGGATGATTGGCGGATCACTTTTCCGGGGAGTCAATCAATATCCACAGCTGTTTGTGGGACACTGAAATCGGCTGCCAGGTTTTGCCCATAAAATACACCATCATTACATTTTACAATATATGCTGTGAAGTGCTTTGAGACGTCTCAACGACATGATAAGGCGCTATATTAAATGCAAGGATTATTATTAAAGATAGTTGGAGAGGAAGATGAGATGAGACGGAAGGGTAGAGGGACGGAGCTGCACAGGTTAATGGCAATCTTTTACTTTGAGAAATGTGTTGCTCGCTTTGGTTAAAATAAAAAAAAACGGGCATTCAAAGGGATATTTTGTGAGTTCAAGCAATTTTATATGTAGCTCCAGATGTCAGCGATATTGAAAAATGGAAGCTTAAGTGCTTTTTGTGACAAGAAATTGCTGAACAGGTTTCCGACTTGTTTTTAGTGCATCAGTAAATCTGCTCGGTCTTGGCGGAAATTTAGAGCGGAGAGTTCNAAAAAAGCTTTGAGGTCAGGTAGCGTGGAAGATTTTTTCCCGCAGTTATATAATAATAAGAATCCTCTCATTTGATATAGAGCCTTTTTCTCAAAGCGCTTCACAGGATTCATTGTGCATTTTAATAATAATAATAATCCTTGCCTTTAATGTAGCACCTTATAATAATAATAATAATAATAATAATCCTTGCCTTTAATGTAGCACCTTATCACGTCGTTGAGACATCTCAAAGCGCTTCATAGAATATGGAGTGGATTGACTGTGTATTTTGTGAGCGAAACGTGGCAGCCAATTGCGCACAGCAGTGTCCAGCAAACCATCGTGGATTGAGAGACCACATTTTTTTTCGAGGGATTATTACCACCAATCAACAAACAACCAGGTTCCTTTATACTGCTAGGTAAACAGAGGCGTGTGGAATAAGGAAAGTTGCCCAAGGTTTCTCCCTGCCCGGGAATCGAACCAGAATCCTCTCGCTTGCGACTCGAGGGCACGAACCACTAAGCCACAAACCAAATTTGTAGGCGAACCAATTTGCGCACAGCAACATCCCACAAACTGCCGTGAAGTGATTGAACAATTTTATCTGGGGGGAATACTATCTAGGACATCTGGAGGAACTCTTTTGGTAGGAAGATAGGGGAGAAGGGGACATGGGGAGGGGAAATAAGGTATATCAGATGCCGACCTGTTTCAAAGCACTTTACAGGATATATTGTGAAATGGAGGGACTGTAATAATAATAATAATAATCCTTGCATTTATTATGGCGCCTCATCACGTCGTTGAGACATCTCAAAGCGCTTTACAGAATGCATTATAAAGTGAATTGACTGTATATTTTGCAGGCAAAACATGGTAACCAATTGTGCACAGCAATCAGGGGCAGGTTTTTCCCTCCCTAACTAACTGGGTGACAATTTCATCTTTCCACCCCTCTGGTCCAATTTACCCCCCCCCCCCTCTCTCTCTCTGTGCCTTAAAGATGCAGATCTGCCCCAGTTCAGATCAGTGAACTCAGTTAAAAATGAGGGCTCAAACCCAGATCCTTGCTAGACTCCGTGGCTCAGTACCAAGCTGTAGAACACATTGAATTAAAGGCCATTAGTGCGTATCTAATGCAGTATGCCTCCAATAGCGTGCTATATGACACTTTGGTATTCATTCTATAGCCTTTGGGAGATTGACTGTGTTTTGTGTTGAGTCTATTGTTGGCTTTCTCCGTAGCTCTCTGCATAGCACGCTGATGTTTCATTTCATGCTGTTAGGGGAATGCAATTTATTCCACTTTTACGATGCAAGGGCATCTTATTTGGTCCTATATTTAAAACGGCAAAGCCTTTCACGTCCTCCGAGAGACTGACACACGCGATCAAATATATTAGCCTCGGCTCTGCTACACATCTCAAAACCCAACTAGGTTCAGGAGTTTGCGGTCAATTGATCAGAGTGGGGGGGGTGGTGGGGGGGGGGTTTGGGGGGGTGGCATTGACAATGTACATGCAAGTCAACAATAACAGCTTACATTTATACGCACCTTTCACGTTAGACGGACTTCCCAAGGCGCTGGACAGTTAAGGGTTTGCACCCGGGCTTGCGGTTGGAATCAAGAGAGGTGGAAGGTAGGGGAGGGTGTGGGTGTGGGAGTGTAGCCGAGGCTACGCGCGAAGAGGAAGGTCTTGAGACGGGCCTTGAAGGAGGCGAGGGAGGGAGGGGGCGAGGTGGTGGGAGTTCCAGAGGATGGGGGCGGGCAGGAAAACTGAAGGTCCTTCCAGCCCCTACAAAACACAATTCATTCCTGATCTTCCCCATGGGCCTGTGCGTTTCTGTGTCTTTGGATCTGAGGATGGAGCTTACCTGCTACACAGAAGGTTTGCTTGCCAGACCACTGCCCATCTGCCTGACAGGTGCGATGGGCCGATCCTGCTAGTATATAGTTGGCTTTACAAGTAAAATTCACCGTCGCTCCTGCCAAGTAGAAGATTCCTTCTTTTTTCCGTTCTTCGGCTCTTCAACAAATCCACAGGCAATCACTGGGAGAGGAGAGAAAGAGATATAGAGAGAAAGAGACAGTGAAGGAGGCAAGGAATAAATGTATCAGAAAAAGGGTGGTCAGTGATGTGATTCGATAACACCTTTTAAGTGAGAAGTAGATAATTATTTGGGGAGGACAACTTTGCAGGGCTATGGAGAGAGAGCGGGGGAGTGGGATTGATTTGGATAGCTCTTTTCAAAGAGCTGGCACAGACACGATGGACCGAATGGCCTCCTTCTGTGCTGTATAATTCTACGATCCCTTGGCGGGTCAATTGCAAAGAAAACTAATCCCTTCAAGCAATCGAAATAATTTGGTCACTCAATCCACCAATGTTTGTGGGGACGCTGCTGTGCGCAATTGGCTGCCGCATTTCGCCCACAAAATATACAGTCAATTCACTTTACAGTGTATTCCATGAAGCGCTTTGAGACGTCTCGAAGATATGATAAGGCGCTAATTCAAACACAAGGATTACTATTATGGTACCTTGTTCGAGGCTTCCGACCAGCTTATTGTAGTTCTCGTGGAAGAATTTTGTCGCATTCCCCACTTGGAAATTCCCGGTGACGAGCGTGTCGAACTTACAGAATGCGTCTCCCTGACACAGTTCGACCGTTTTAGAGTGAAGAGAGTCGTTCTCGCTCGCTCTCCCAGGAGTGAAGACGGGAGAAAAGTCGGGGTCGTGCTTGGGAGCGTGGTAATAGTTGTCCAACAAGAACTCACTGTCGTACGTAAAGAGAGAGGTTTCATTTTCGATCGCCCCTAAGAAAGAACAAGGTATAAAATAAGTCACGGCAGGCACCATCCATACCAGAAGGTTATGGTTCCAAACCGAAACACGATGGGACTTTGAGCTCAGAGGCTACGCTATCCGCCCTTCACTCCTCATGATCCCAACCACCAGCTCAGGTGCGGATCCCTGACAATCCAGTGCTTTGGGACGTCCTCCTGATGTGAAAAGCACTGTACAGATGTAATTTGTTGCTGTTGTTGACGCTCCAATACAGCACTGTGGGTAGGGCTGCATTGTGACTGTCCTTTGGATGAGGTGTTGAAGATCCCATGGCCCAATTCAAAAAGCGGAGGCAGTTTCTACCCCTATGTCCAGGCCAACAATCCCAAGGACAGAATCGATCACTCACTTCACGGCTGTCGGTGAGGGACATCGCTGTGTGAGAATCGGCTGCCTTTGGCCTAAGAAATACACCCCCAATTGATTTCCCCTGTAACAGAGCTGTGCTACAGCTGTTGATGTGATTCATGCCACAAACTGTGCGCGAGTTTTACTGTATTACAAGTGTCGACAAGAGTTCACATTAACCGGGGAACGTGCTACTCACAGCTGCCGCCCATCTCGTACAGCTGCTCTGGGCTGGCGTCACCCGGCAGAAGGCTGCCGTTCCTGATCCCCAAGTCATCGTCAGGATCGCCGTTCATTACCCCAAAGAGCCCCTCGGTCTGGTTGGTGAATTCCTCTGGTAACAGCACTACGATGCCCAGGATAGCGCCTCTTCCCTTCACCTCCACTCCAGCCCCAGAGGAAAACATGACGGTAACATCCAGGGGGGAGCCCTTGTACACAAACACACCTGGGACAAGGAGTGCAGTGAAGGCAACACAGCGTTAGAACACATAGCGTCGGTCGTTCACTCTGCCACTGTTTCTGGGACGCTGCTGTGCGCAACTGGCTGCCGCGTTTCGCCCACCAAATACGCAGTCACTCCACTTTACAGTATATCCTGCGAAGCGCTTTGAGACATCTCAACGACGTGATAAGGCCCTATATATCAAATGCAAGGATGATTATAATTATTATTATTAGCGCAGTAACTGTTCAGGTCATGGTTATTACTCGTTCATAACAGTTTTAGTCCCAAAGTTTCTTCTCAAAAAAAACTTTGACTTCTTTTCTCTGAACAAACAAAGACTTGCTTGGATCAGACAGCCTCCTACTCTCAACTGTATCATCCACATCAATGTTTGATGTGGGTTTTGCTGTAACAGTTTGTAATTTTATCTCCTTGTTATTACTCCTTGCCCCACCCCCTCCCCCTCTCTCTACTATCACCTCTCCCCACCCCCCTCCCACCTCAAGTTTAGAAGGTTTGCGGGGTGATCTAATGCAGGTGTTTTAAAATGATAAAGGGATTCGATGGGGCCGATACAGAGAAACTATTTCCTCTGATGGGAGGAATCCTCAACAAGTGGGCGTAATCTTAACGAGTTGAGCTAGGCCATTTAGGAGTGAAATTAGGAAGCACTTTCGTCGCACAAATGGTAGTGAAAATCTGGAACTTTCTCCCCCAAAAGTCTGTGGATTATGGCTGGATCCATTCACATTTTCAAGACTGAGGTGGACAGATGTTTGTTAGGTCAGGCTATCAAGGGACTTGGAGCAATAGGCGGGTAAATGGAGTCGAGGTATAGATCAGCCATGATCTAATAGGATGACTGAACGGGCTTGAAGGGCTTAATGATCCTATGTTCCTAAGACACTTGCGAACCTATTGGTGGAGCTGGAGGCAAGTGTTAGAGATACAACCCATTAGGGCTATCAGCCCAGTGCTGCCAAGATTATTAGATCAATCAAACATTGAGAAGGCTATCTGTGGAAAGAAGATGGCCAGGGTTGATCAGTGGAGATTTTAATTGATTGTCTCTTGGGGTGGGGTCGAGGAGCAGTTATGGAGACCTTTTACGCAGAAGATGGTGAGGACTGCCCGGAGACAAGTTTTGTGTAGAGTGCGGAAGGAGCGGAGGGGAGCTTGATGGGTCTTTTAACCTTCTCTGGTTGGGCGCTTTTACCTTCTTAATAAAAATACATCGACTGTTTCGCTTCGCGAGCCGAACTCACCACTGAGATCCATCCACTTCTGTTCGGCGAAGGAGAGGACTCCCTGGTTGAGCAGCACCTCTAAGCTGTCACTCTGGGAGTCATTGGAAACGCGGACTTCGATCACGTCGGAGTCGCCTTCCTGCATTGCGACCGCAGTGAATCTGGTCGCATTAACGTCCTCCCCTAACGAGAGACATTGAGGTCTGATCACACTGGTGTGGTGTGAGTCCATTCAATGACTCCACTTCATTCCATTCTCCTCTGCAGGACTCCAACCTCACAACGCTCACAACAACAACTTGCATTCATGTAGCGTCCCTCACGCAGGGTAGCGTCCCAGAACGCTTGACAGTGACAGAGGGGGGGTGGGAGTGATCATCCCACTTGCCTACCAATCCCTTCACGCCCTGGCACCTTCCTACCTTTCTGACTTCCTCGCTCCCCCCTCCACTACCCGCTCGGATGGCTCCGACCTCCTGCTTTACCCTCGTCCCTTCCATTAGATCATCGGTGGCCATGCTTTGAGCCACTAGGCCCCAAAGCTTTGGAATACTCTTCTTCAATCCCTCCGCCTCGCCCCAACCATCCCCATCTTCAAGTCCCACCTGAAAACCTTCCTCTTCGACCGTGTCTGCGGTCAACCACCCTCCCCCCTACCCCCCCATCTTCCCGGCTTGGCATCGTGCTCCACTAACATTAAGTGGCCCGAGACACTGCCCCGTGTGAAGGTCGCTATATAAATGCAAGTTGCTGATGTCCTGCCTACAAAATGACACAGTCACTCCACTCGTGATAAGGCACCGAACCAAATGCGAGGGTTATTATCACTATGGTTGTTCCCGTGAAGGGGGTGGGGGGTGGCGGTCACGAGAACTGACAGATCGCTTTCATGCGCGCGCTTGACCGAGGAGCGCAAGAGCGAGTGAACGCGCGTGAGCGTGCGTGTGGGGGAGGATACGTGCGGTGCGGGCGTGATGTGGTGCAGAACACACGCACGTGTCAATCCTCTCTCCTCCTTATCGCATTCCTCTCCGAGGAATGTAAACACAGGCTCGGATGATGCACGCCCTGTGCACATCGCGAGGTCTTCCACAACAGAACCAGGGTTCTGCTGTATCGCTTCCAATCACTGGTTTGGACCCAGACCAAACACTTGTCTCGTTCGCCTTGACATCTAACTGAACCGGGATGAGGTCGGAGTTTCAGAAGTGGTGGGTGTCGGATTCTGGATCCGTTTCACATTTCTAAGATAGTAGATCAGTTCTCGTGACCAGATCGACTTTCCCATTCTTGTATGTTTCTACCTGCTCGCCAGCACTTCAGCTATGAGCTTGGTGAAGGGGTGGGGAGGCTTATTATAAATGCAAACAACATCCCGACCACCTCCCCTCCCACCCCTCCACCCCATACACACACCCACCCACCCACACACACACCCACCCACCCACCACACACCCCACCCACCCACCCACACACACCCACACACACACAGTTCAGTCAAGTAAAATGTTTCGAGACACCTTCCCCAATGTGAGTTCATGTATAAACGGAATTAACACTTCAAAGCCTTTCTAAGGTCTCGCCCCACCTCTGTGACCTTCTCAAACCTGACAGACCTGCCTGCTCCCCCCTCCACTGGGCAGGCACCGGCCCGCTTCGCGTTCCCCCCCTCCCCCGCCGCGCTGCCCGCTCCACCATCGGAGCCCAGTGACTCAGTGGTTAGAGCACTCGCTTTGCAAGTGAGAGACCTGAGTTCAATCCCCGGCAGAGGGCGAAACCTTGGGCAAGTTTCCTTACTCCACACAGAGCCTAATAATAATCCCTCCAAAACCAAAACAATGATAAATTGGTCATTTTCAATCTACGACTGTTTGTGGGACATTGCTGTGCGCAATTGGCTGCCGCGTTTGCCCACAAATATACAGTCAATTCACTTTACAGTGTGTTCTGTGAAGCGCTTTGGGACGTCCTCCCGACGTGAAAAGCACTATATCAAATGCAAGGATTATTATTATTATTATCGGCGGGCAGGCTTTCAACCTTCCTGCCCCCGCTCTCTGGAACTCCATCCCTGAAGTCCCTTGGCCTCACCCCTTTCCCTCACCTCCTTCAAGCTCCTCCTCAAGAGCTTCCTCTTTGACCACGTCTTCAGCCATCTTTACCCCCCCCCCGCTACCCCCCCCAAACACACCCCCCTTCCCCTCCCCCTAGCCCCTACCCCTCCAGCTCTCACACGCAGCTCGGGTGCAAACTCGGACTGTTCCAGGGCCTTGGAACGTCCTCCTGACATGAAAAACGCTGCTCAAATGTAATTTGGTCTTGTCGTTATTAAATGACCATTGGATGGCGAGGATCTTACCGTTGCTATCCTGGACTAACTCCGTCCTTCCTTGGACTCGTAGCCACTGATCAGTAACATTCACTGCAGCGTTTAGCAGAGTGTATTCCCCTTTGCCATTGAACGTGAAGCTTTTCCCATCAAATGTATAAAGATGTGGGTCTCCAAATGTTGCACCTGACGAAGAGACAAAGACATTTCTTTCTGAAGCGCTCCACATGAGGTTTAGGTGTTCCGCAGCATATTGGTCAAGCGAGAGGACCCGGGTTCGGTCCCCGGGCGGGGCGAAACCTTAGGTAAGTTTTCTCACACTCCACCCCTCTGTTTGCCAGCAGTAAGTAGGAACCCGGTTGTTAGTTGATTGGTGGATCTGGAGGTAATAATCCCGTCAAATAATAATAAATTCGGTTGCTCAATCTGCGACTGTTTATGGGACGCTGCTGAATGTAATTGGCTGCCATGTTTTGCACACAAAATATAGTCAATTCACTTTACAGTAAAACCCCTGCGAATCCCTATGAAATTTCGACAACTGATAAGGCTCTATATCAAATGCAAGGGTTACTGCTGTTTACACAGAATACTTTTGGCTGCATTTCAGACTTGACCTCTGCTGCCCGTACCCATTCTCCACATCATTATCTCATTCAATTAGCTATGTATATAGTCACGCATTGCCTGGTGTGAAAGCTTCATGAATGCATTCACATAGAACTATTCGGTTTATGACTGTTAGCTGCTGACGTTATAAGAAGCAATCACTCTCTCTCTCGTGCTCTCTCTCTCTCTCTCTCTCTCCCTCTCTCTCGCTCTCTCTCTCCCCCTCTCTCTCTCTCGCCCCGTCTCCCCATTTCGGCTGTTGATTTTGACGCAAAGCGCTAAAATAAACTCGTTCGACATTTAAACCCACATTCAAGACACCTCACCAAGATGTCAAATGCTAAGGAGGAAGTGGGAGTGAGTCGCTCCAGTGTTTTGCCAAGATAATAATGACCTTCGGTGCAAAAGTGTTCACTCTGTGATACATTTCCCCCCTCGCAATCACCAGCCTCGTCCCAGGTACAGTGATCCCCTTGCAGGCACGTTGTGGCCAGAACGCACGTACGCTCTTGCGGGGATCTTGAAAGGTATCAAAATATTGCGCATTTCACCCCCAAAGTACACAGTCAATGCATTTTGCAGTATATTCCGCGAAGAGCTTTGAGACGTCTCGAAGACGTGATAAGGCGCTGTATCAAATGCAAGGATTATTATTATTATTTTACTGGTCAACCTTGTCATTCTGACTGGTTCAACCCCAGCGGTGCTTCGAAACATTCCTAATTCCTTGGCGTCTGTTTGGTTTTCAATGTGCCCCTGGAGATAGATACACACATCTATGTGTATCTATGTGTGTGTGTTGGTGTGTTATTTGTATGTGTGTGTATCTGTGTGTGTGTATATGTGTGTGTGTGTGTGTTATTGTGTGTGAATCTGTGTGTGTGTTTGTGTGTGTGTGTGTTATTATGTGTGTGTGTATGTGTTATTGTGTGCGTGTGTATCTGTGTGTGTGTGTATCTGTGTGTGCGTGTGTGTTATTGTGTGTGTGTGTTATTGTGTGTGTATGTTATTGTGTGTGTGTGTGTGTGTGTGTGTTATTGTGTGTGTGTGTTATTGTGTGAGTGTGTCTGTGTGTTATTGTGTGTGTGTGTGTGAGTGTGTGTGTGTGTTACTGTGTGTGTGTATGTGTGTGTGTGTTATTGTGTGTGTGTGTGTGTGTGTTATTGTGTGTGTGTGTGTGTGAGTGTGTGTGTTACACTGTGTGTATATGTGTGTGTGTTACTGTGTGTGTGTATGTGTGTGTGTTATTGTGTGTGTGTGTGTGTGTGTGTGTGTGAGTGTGTGTGTGTGTTATTGTGTGAGTGTGTGTGAGTGTGTGTGTGTGTTATTGTGTGAGTGTGAGTGTGTTATTGTGTGTGTTATTGTGTGTGTGTGCAGCTATGTGTGGTTGGAATTGGAAACCGAACCACAACAAAGGATTTTCATTTGTGTCAGACATCCCGCCCGTCAGATAAACAGTGAAAGATTAACGGATCTCTGAGAGCTTGAGATGACCTTGTAAACACCGTTCTTTTGTTTCCCCCCCCACCTCCACCCCACCACCACCCTCGCCCCCCCCCTCCCCCACACAAAAAAAATAAAAAATTGACATCTTTTCGGGGGTGACAGTTTTTAAACTCTCCGCGAAGTTTCGAAAACGCCTGGCGGAATTACTTATCCTTCGCTGAGAGAAGTGTACAGTATCAGAATTGTAAAACTAACAAGCAGCCACCCATCAGTAATCTAATCGAACGGTTCAGGCGGTTCATACAGAGCGAGGATTCACGACAACAAGACAGCAGCCTAATCCCAGGGCTTTGATGGGTTTTATGTGGAGAAGCACAGTTGCAAGGCAAGCGGTCCGACTGTTTGCAGGGATCTGCTGGTATCGGGGCCTGAGCTTACGATACCCGCCTCTGAACAGTGATCACGGATCACAGCCAGTGAAGCCCTCCTCCCCCCCGTCCCCCCCAACCCGACTCCCTTCCTGGCATCTGCTGTCAGATGTCAGCATCCTCCAGTTGATTGACACTCGCTGTCCTTCACACAGAGGCGACAGAGGGGCTGACTGGGGAGGGATGGGGCAAGATGCGGAGGGAACAGGTGGGGTGGGGGGGGGGGGGGGGAGAGAGCTCCAGAGTTTTGGGGGATGTGGTGGCTGAAAGCGCGGCAGGGCGCGAGGGACAAGCAGGAGGCTGGAAGGTCTTCAGGCGCGAGCTGAAGGCGGGGGAGGATGGGCGAAGGCAGAGGGATCGAGGGAGAGCATTCCAGAGTTTCGGGGAAGGGGTGGGGCGTATTAGAACCGGGAACGATGGACCGGACCACAGAAAACCACCTGCCGTCTTTGGAGCACCTACCAGCTTTGGGAGGCCTGTACGTGCGGCAGTCACTTGAAGGCCGGTGCAAGAAATAGTAGTGGCAGTTGTCAGACCAGAGGCAGCAGTAGTAGAAGGAGATGACGTCGTAGAGCCAGTGCGAGTTTCCGGGGACTCTCGGGGCCTGAGGTAGGGCGGGGAGCCCCAGTCGTGTCCTCGGTCTGGGGTGCTGCCTCCCAGGGAATCTCCCGTTAGGATTTGTCTGCCCTCTGCGTTGTAGCAGCACTGCTGACCCGCTCCATACCGGGGACTGGGGAGGCAAGAGAGGCAGGTAAGTCAGTTGCGATAATATGGTCAATGGGGCAATGGCACGTTTGCTGTTGGCGATGGTTACCATCCTCAGTACTGAGGGGGGTGGGGTGGGGGGGGGTCTCCTGTAGCGCAGTGGTTGGAGCACTGGCCTCGCAAACGAGAGGACACAGGTTCGATTCTCGGTCAGGGTGAAACCTTGGGCAAGTTTCCTTACTCCACCAACGTTTCTGTTTACCTAACAGTAATAATAATGCTTGTATTTGATACGGTGCCTCATCATGTCGTTCAGACGTCTCAAAGCGCTTTACAGAATATACTGTCAAGTGAATTGACTGTGTGTTTTGTGGGTGAAACGCAGAAGCCAACTGTGCACAGCAGCGTCCCACAAACAGTCGTGGATTGAGTGACCTTATTATAATGATTATGATTATTTTGAAGGGTTTATTACCCCCAGAAAGTGATCCGCTAAACGACTAATAACCGGGTTCCTACTTACTACTTGGTAAACATAGGCATGCGGAGTAAGGAAACTTGTCTAAGGGTTCACCCTGCCCGGGAATCGAACCTGGGTCCTCTCGCGTGGCAAGATCTCTATTCAGCACACCACAGGACTCCACAGATTGTGGGTTCAAGCCCCACGTCAGGACGTTGAACCCATAATCTGAGCACTGCAGTGATGGGGGAGGGGAGGGGTTGCGTTGTCGAAGTTCAACCCGTCTGCCTGTTCAGGTGGACGTTAAAGACCCCAAACACTGTACATAAAAAAGAGGGGGTTTCTCCCCGTATCTTGGCCACCAATTCCCCAGTTTTCTTTTTAAAAAAATGGGGATTTACTTCACGACGGCCGGTTTGCAGGCACTTTGCTGTGTGGTACCAGGCTGCCGGGTTCACCCACAAATACGCAGTGACAAATTGCAATTACCTTTGAGATGTCTTGACGTGATATCAATTGCGAGGATTATTATTAGTGTACATTAAGTTCAATTTTTGTAACTGCGCTTTCGAGTTCTACCGCCCACAGGATTGGCAAAGTGCCTTGGGCAGGTTAGTCTATAGGCTACTCCGCAGCCCCCGTCAAACCATCTCTACATCGATTACATTTCGGGACCTATTTGGCGAACAAGGGGAAAGGAATCCTTGTGGGGTGAGATGCCAACACAGGTAAGTTGCTCCACCTGGTGGCTCCGTCATGAAATGGCAACGGTTCGCTGTCGCCCCGCGGAAGGGAACATTAATAATAACACTACTGATAATAACCCTTGCATGCGCAGTAATAATCCTCGCGCCTTATCGCGTCTACGAAACATCTCAAAGCGCTTCGCAGAATATACCGTCAAATGAATTGGCTGCACATTTTGGGGGCGAAACTCGGCAGCCGATTGCTCTCGGCAGTGTCCCACAAACAGCCGTGGATTGGGTGACCAAATTATTATTATTATTTTTTAAAGGATTATTACCCACGGAACGCGATACGTCAATCGACTAGCAATCGGGTTCCTACTCACTGCTCGGCAAACAGAGGCGTGTGGAGTAAGGAAACTTGCCTAAGGTTTCGCCCCGTCCATTTGAAAGTCCATCTGAGTCCAGGTTTACTCAGATTTTCTTAGCATTTCAGAACGTCCCAAATTTGGGATGTTCTTAAAAGTGCAGCCTTAGTCTTGAAGCCGCTTTTTCTTAAGTCCTTTTAAGAAACTGCAGAAAAATGCCCTCAAAGTGAAGACAGAATTCAACAATTTTCTTATTCACAACAGTAACAATCCTCACGTTTAATATAGCAAGTTTCATGTCTGGACGTCTCAAAGCGCTTCATGGGATTCGCTACAAAGTGCAATGAATGTGTATTTTGCAGGTAGACAAGTTGTGAATAGCAAGGTCACCGAAACAGCCACAAAGTGAGCGATTGATTTTATCCGGCAAGGATTGTTATGCCAGGACCCCGGGAGAGAGAGAAACTCCCTTTTCTTTTCGAAAAGTCCCAAGGAATCCTTAACGGCCACCTGAACAGGAAGATGGGTTTAACGGTTTAACGTCTCATCCGAAGGACGGCACTTCCGTCAACGCAAGCCATCCCCCGGCCGCCGTGCAGAACTGGAACGTCAGCCTAGAACGTGAGCTCAGCGTTCCGAAGTGGGTGGGTTTGTGGCAGGATTGGAACCAGCACCCTTCCAAATCTGTGCGGCCTGGTGCTGTGCAGTGGGCATTGCTTTTACCCACCTGGGCCATCAGATGAGCTGCAGGACAGCCCCGTTCGTCGACACTTCATGTAGGATATTATTATCACGAGGCTACTAAGTCAGTCGCTTACCTGGCTTGTATAGCTCTGACACAATGTACAGCTCCCGGATGATAGGTGCACAGGCTCCCTTGTTCAATATCACACCCGTAGTCTGTCTGTGTCGGCAAAGAAATTAAAATTGAGCTTTCAGTAAATCCTTCATCCATCCGTGTTGTATTTGCCTTTGTACAGTACCGTTTGGGAGGTGACCGTAGGCGAGGTCAAAGAGGAAGGTATTATGGTGTGATCTGAAGACTGGCATGGAAGAGGTGAGGCAGAGAGTTCCATAGTTTCGGGGCATAGTGGCTGAGACTGACATGTTCTCTTCAAGCTCATCCTAATAATAATAATAATAATGATACTTGCATTTGGTATAGCGCATTATCCCATCTCCCGGAAGGATGTCTCAAAGCGCTTCACGTGAATTACTGTGAAAATGGAGTGACTGTGTATTTGTAGGCAAAATTGCACACAGCAGTGTCCTACAAACGCTAACTCATGGAGTGAGTGACCGATTTTATTTGAGGGATTTCTTGGCCAGGGCACCTGGAGAGAGAAGCTCCCTTCTCTTTTTCGAATAGCACCGCAGGATCTTTGACGTCCGCCCAAACAGGCAGACGGGACCTCGGTTAACGTCTCATCCAAAAGACGGCACTTACGACCATACAACCCCCCCACACCCCTCACCGCCGCCCCCCCCCCCCTCCCCCCAGCGCTGCATTGGAGTATCAGCTCAGACGATGTGATTCGAAATCCCGGCGTGGGGCTTGAACCCACAACCTTCTGACTCAAAGGAGAGAGAGCTATCGCTGCTGACATGCTTACGTGAAATCTGCCGGTGTCTGCTCTGGCCTGCGCCAGGGTACAGGGGCAGTCTGCGATCTCGGACAGGAAGTTGGGCAGGGTCTGCTCGGTCTCGTGCCACGCCAGGCACTTGCTGTAGGCCCAGGCGGCGGAGTCTCTCCTGAAGGTCTCCTCCAGGTGCCAGGCCAGAGCGTGGCTTGAGCTCCACACGCTTCTGACATTCCTGATTCACAGCACATTTACACAAGGTTAGACTCCAGACTCCAGACTCCAGTCTGTAACTCATGTTACAGACAACCTGGTGAAACACACACAATTCCACATCGACCTCTCCCTGTGTCTGTGTCCGATGCTTATAAAAGTCATCGCCATTCTTCAAAGTGATTACTTTTGTGAACCACTTGGAGATAATAATAATAATGATAATAATAATAATAATAAGCCCTGCATTTCATACAGCGCCTTTCACGACGTCTCAAAGCTGAGATGGACCTTGAACAAGGTCTCCCCCCCGACCGTCACCTCATTCAAGGTCCATCTCAAGACCTTCCTCTTCGACCGCTCTTTCGGTCATCTTTCCCCCTCACTCGACCGCAAAGCCAGGACTGGCAAGCGCTTTGGGACGTCCTCCTGAGGTGAAAGCTGCTGTATGAGTGCAATTTGTATTGCAGCGTTGTCTCAATCATGTCTTTCCTTTACTCAAACAGACACCAAAAAAAAAACACTTGAGACATGACGTAAAGTGTCATGTGGCCTGGAAGAACTAGGTAACTTGGGATCTGTAGCTCTCAAAGCTTCCCACTCTGTTGTAGACTAACCCACAGTGAATTAATTGCTATCCACGTCTTCATTATGGTAGCATCCGACTACCAGGATGGTAGAAAGTGGCCGAGATGGGCCTTGGTCTTTTCTCGACTAGCAAATCCCATCTCCCTATGTTAAGCGCCTCGAGTCGCTGCACCGTGTAAAGTACGCTATATAAATGCAAGTTGCTGTTGTTATTGTCGTTCCTAAGTTCCACTTAATATGTGTTGTCAGTTCTCCCTGAAAGCCAATGCTCGTCGGGACCATAATAATAATAATAATTATAATAATAATCCTTGCATTTGATATAGCACTTTTCACGTTTTCTAGACATCTCAAAGCGCTTCATGGAATATGCTGTAAAGTGAATTGACCGTATATTTGTGGGCGAAATAACCAGCTATCAATGTAGAACGTTTTATCCGCACCAGCATTGCAACACTCGTGAAATGAATTCAAATGCGTAAGCAGCGCTCAGCTATTGAATTGGGATCCATTGTCAAACCGTCTCCAGCAGTGATCTGTGAAACCCCAATAAATAACGGAATATTAGCCTTCTTTGTTCCAATGCTCAGCCGTCTCTCCTCTTCCGCTGCGAAGGCTTACTTGTCCCGGCGATGCTGAACTGATGTCAGTCCTGACAACGGGGCTTTGGGACCCATCAGAACCGTTCATTCCGAATGTATGAGATTGACGTGACGGTGGATGTGGACTGAATGGAAAAAAGCTGCAGGTTGCTCGCACACTCGCAGTCAATGTAGAACCGGCAGCCTATTGAGCCCTTATTTCTGGAAGAACGTTAATCAAGACACGCTGTAAACCTCTCTAAACTATTGGCGGATTGCTTCACAGGGGTAATCACCCCTTCCGAAAAATATAGTGTCAATCCACTGTACAGGATATTCTGTGAAGCACTTTGAGACGTCCCAACGACGTGATAAGGTGCTATATCAAATGCAAGGATAATTATTATTATTATTATTAGAGTCAGAGCTGATTTGATTTGATTCCTGACTGTTTGTGGGACGCTGCTGTGCGCAACTGGCTTTGAGACGTCGCAAAGACGTGAAAAGCACTATATCAAAAATGCAAGGATTATTTTTTTTTCCCTCTCTCTCATAACTTAATTGTAAATCCCCACAGTCCAGGCATAATGGAGGCTAATTATAATGTGGTATTATTAATATTATAATAAAATTATTATAGATTACGTACTGATAAGTACCAGACTGCCCTACCAGGGACTAATGGTCTATTAAAGAACTACAGAGGAAAACTCTATTCAAAGCCCAATTGGTGTAGCAGTGATTAATAGTAATCCTTATATTTGATATAGCGCCTTTCAGGGAATATAGTGCAGTGACTGTGTATTTTGTAGCATCTTGTATCCTGTTCAGGCAAAGTTCATGTCTTCAATAGAATCATAGAATCTTACAGCGCAGAAGGAGGCCATTTGGCCCATCATGTCTGCGTCGGGTCTTTGAAAGAGCTAATGAACAAGTCCCACTCCCCCGCTCTTACCCCATAGCCTTGCAATATTTTCCTTTTCAAGGACCTATCCAATTCCCTTTTGATAGTTAGTATTGAATCAGCTTCCACCACCCTTTTACTGTTTGGATATCAAAAAATAATTCTCCTCGTCAGCCCTCTGGCTCGTTTGCCAATGATCTTAAATCTGTGCCCTCTGGTTACCGACCCACCCGCCAGAGGAAACAGTTTCTCCCTCTCTACTCCATCAAATAGACAGCGGGTGCAGCTCATGTCCAGTACAGGCAGAGGACACTGTTCAGGTCTTGTACTAATACAGTGAAGTGTTGCATGCCTCAGTGTCCAGTTAAGTGTGTGGGTTGGGGGGGTTTGGGGCGGGCAGTCAGTTTCCTCCTGCGCCACCTCCTGCTGGCACTTGCTAATGCTTCAACAACAACAACAAACTACACTTGTATAGCGTCCTTCACGTGGGAAAGACGTCCCAGGGCGCTGGACGGTCATGGGGTGGGTTTTCACAACATATTTGACACACACACACACACACACACACAAACCCGCGGTCAATGATATTGTACTTACTGGATCCCAACCGACTCATTGCTGTTGGTGAGACGCAACGCTCCAATCTCCCAATCTGAATGGGGCTTCTCAGCGGGTTTGGGCACAAACGTAAAGTAGCCTGTGTTTGGAACCCCTTCGCCCAGTGTGTACAGGAACTTCCATTCTGCCCTCCAGTTGTCTGTGTAAGGCTCGCCTGATCGAGAGGTGGAGTTATTCCGCGTGTTATTTGATTCACGTAAAAAACTGCCACGAAAAGGAATCATCAACCTTTTGGCCGCTGAGGGCAGATGCCTTATTTGACCAACGTCTGCTGGACGCAGAAGCAATATTTTTGTGTTTCCCTTCCAAAACATAACATAACATTTTACGGATTATGGAGGGAGCAAGTGGGACAGATGAAATGGAGGGGTGGGGGGAACGGGAGGGGGGGCAGATGAAATCGGCCCGTGGGCCACCAGTTGGATCACCCTGATCTAAGTCTACGTTGTGGGCAAGGTGCTCTCAACTGTTCACACTGAAACTCACCAACCTGCACACTGCAAATAAGCTTGCAATTGGGCTCAAACATTACTCCCAGCTCTGAATTCCTGCTGAAGATTTAAGCTACCTCTATTTCCTCCCTCCCTTCCGCCACCGCCCTCCAAGAAAAAAGCATTACAAGCACAGAAGAAAGCCATTCGTCAAGCAGACTGAAGATAGCCGAGTGGACAGGGTTGCGAAGAAGATTGAACTAAGAGAAGGTCCTAGAGATAGAGAGGTGCTTGAGAGTTGGGGGATTTATATGTGAGGGTGAGGACCTTGAAATTGACCTGATGGGTGGTAGGGAGATATTGGAGTGTGGCCCAACTGTGGGGAAGGGTTTTGAGAGGAGGAGTAGGCAGGCAGTGTGATGTAGGTGGAGGAACAGGGAGGGAGGGAGGGAGGGTTTACATGCAAGTTCTTTAATAACTTACAAGCAATGCGTTCTTTGTCAGTGTGTCTCTTAACACTGCACCAGATCTGTAGCTTACCTGTTTCTCTGTAACCCCAGAGTTCAACGTTTACTGCAAGTCCCGGGAAAAGGGGGGATTTCTTCCAGAGCAGTGTTAGATTTCCGGTAACATTGGGCGTCCCATAGTATTGCCATTTGGTGGCATTAAGCAGAATGCTTTTGAAGTCATAAGAGTATTTGTTGTGCTGTACTGTAAGGAGAAAATAAATGGAAGAATTAAACTGAGAACTGGTCAATAATAACAACAACTTGCATTTACACAGCGCTCCTCAGGCAGGGCAGGGTCCAAGAGTGCTTGACAGTGGCGGAGCACGACACTGAGCCGGGGTGAGAGGGGAGGTAACCGAAGAGGAAGGTCTTCAGGTGCGACCTGAAGATGGAGAAGGAGATGACAAGGCGGAGGGATAGAGGGAGAGTGTTCAAGAGTTTCGGGGAGTAGTGGCCGAAAGCTCACGGACGGAGGGGACGAGGGGCAAGCAGGAGGCCGTAGATGGTCAAGCGGAGGCAATGAGTAGTGGGTTGGGCAGTAAATGGGTCGGAGAGATAGGGAGGTGCCAGGGTGTGAAAGGGATTTGAAGACAAGTGTGAGGATCTTGAAATCAATCCGTTCAGCAAAAGGGAATCAATGGAGCCTGGACAAGAACTGGTGTGACGGGGGTACAGAGTTTAGTGCAGGTGAGTATGGGGGTGGGTGTAGTTCTGGATTAACTGAGTCCCACAAATATAGGGTGCTGTGAGAAATAGAGTCAGGGACTCCAGCCTTGCAATTGATCTAACGCTCGAACGTTGCAAAGCACGTCACAGGCAATTGCTGTCAAGTGCAACAGCTGCCAATTTGCACACAGCCAAGGTAGGAAAAGTAGCCACAAAGTCAATGGCCCATTTTATCTGGAGGACTTTGAGAAACTCCCTTCCCCTTTCGATCAGGAATCGCAGGATCTTTTTATGTCCTGCCTGAGAAGGCACTCAGGACCTCAGGTTTAACTTAACTAAGGACGTTAAGTTAACAGTGCAGCACTCCCACAGACCCACACTGGAACGGTGGCCTGGAATATGAGCCTTGGATCAGAGTTGACTCTGATGTCTCGTAGATTTAAATAGTCTGTTGACTCTCACTATCTGGCTGGGGCATGTAGGGTCACAGGTGAAAATCTGGAGTTATATAATCCTTATAATAATCCTTGCGTTTGATATAGTGCCTTATCATGTCGATGAGACGTCTCAAAGCACTTCACAGAATATATTGTAAAGTGAATTATATTCTGTGTATTTTGTGGGCGAAACTCAGCAGCCCATTGCGCACAGCAGCGTCCCACAAACAGTCGTGAGTGACCCTACTTTTGTTTTCTTAAGGGATTATTACCCTCGGAAAAGCAATCTGCCAATCGATTAATAATAATGAGATTCCAATTTACTGCTGGTAAACAGAGGCATGTGGAGTGAGAAAAGTTGCCTAAGGTTTCGCCCCGCCCGGGGATCGAACCTGGGTCCTCTCGCTTGTTAGGCGAGTGCTCTAACCAATACGCTACAGGACTCCACAAGAGTGGAGGGGAGCATATTAGAGTAGATACGATACGAGAGTTTGATTCTATTTGACAACATTAAGTTACTTAACATTAACTTAACATTAAGTTAAGATACGAGAGTTTGATTCTATTTGACAACATTAAGTTACTCATGTATCTGTCTTGTAAATAAAACCGTGATAAAATACTCCCGGTATCTGATTGGAACAAAATGCAAAGGTTACCATGCATTGTGAATCTTATATTATATCCAATACTTTTTCTGCCCCGTCATGATTATGGTTCATAAATGTGTTGGAATGGGTTCAAGACCTTTAGACATTCCTTAGATAGGGCTTCCCTGCAATAGGGAGCTGGTTCGGTTGAAATTCCAAAGTTTTATATTGGTCGAGCAATTTTTCTCTTATCAGCTTCGGATGGTTTCCATTGATGGATAACAGTCTCGGAATAGTTTGTCAGCAAAAACAGAAGTCATCTCCCCCAACAAATTAATAATAAATTATCCTTGCATTTGATATAGCGCCTCATCACGTCGCGGAAACGTTTCGAAGCGTTTCGCAGAATATACTTTAAAGTGGAGCGACTGTGTATTTTATGGGTGAAAGGCGGCAGCCAAGGAAGTAGACAACCATCAATAACAGCTTTGAAACGAACCCACTTAACGGATACTTGCCTCTGTGTCGATACTTTCAAAAGCAAATTAGATGGATTTCTTTTAGGAAATAATATCTTGGGGATACAGTATACAGTTTGGGACACGACATGTGCAAACGACTGCCAGGATGGTGGAAGGCGATCTGAATGGACCTCCGTCTTCTTTCGCCAGTAAATTCTAATGTTCTTATGTTCTGATTCATAATAGGTTAGCAACAATTGCAGGTGAGGGAAAAGTGGGGCACAGGTAGCCTCAACTGTGCAGTGGATGGAGCTGCTGCTTACAGTCCAGACACGAATCCTCTAAATGTCTTCAATAAGGGAGCAATAATAATAATAATAATAATCCTTGCATTTGATACAGAGCCTTACCACGACTTCGAGTTGTCTCAAAGCGCTTCACCGAATATTCATTGTAAAGTGAATTGACTGTATATTTTGTGGACGACAGGCAGCAGTCAATTGCGCACAGCAGCGTCCCACAAACAGTTGTGGATTGAGTGATTTATTTATGTATTATTGGTTTTTTTTGAAGGAATTATTACCCCCCCAGAAAAGCGACCCGCCAATCGACTAACAACCGGGTTCCTACTAACTGCTCAAAGGCGTGTGGAGCAAGGAAACTTCCCAACGTTTCGCCCTGCCCAGGAATCGAACCCAGGTCCTCTACGCTTGTAACGAAGAAAGTAACGAAGAGAGCAAACTCCTCATTGCCAGCAGTGTAGGCAGCACTTTAGTTCCCCTTCATTCCAAAGAATTGATTTCATTCATCGCCTTTCCTAAATGCCCCGTCCTGCTTGCCGTTTGTCCTCACAACTGACCTGACACCCACGTTCCCCTGCGACTGAAGGTTTGGCCACCATCGGTCGATAACTCAAACGGTACCCTTCCGTTCTCAAACAGCAGCGGAGAGATACAGTGAGCTTTCCTTTCGCCATCGACGTATCCCTCTATATCGATTTCAGACTTGAACCTGCAATGGAATTAGCCATGTCAGCACTGGGACACACGGCCACAACAACAGCAACAACTTGCATTTATACCGCCCCCTTCACGCGGGGCAGAGTCTCGGAGTCTCGGAGCCCGACACCGAGCCGGGGGGGAGGCAGGAGGTGACCGTAAAGCACGGTCGAAGGGGAAGGATTTCAGTCGTGATCTAAAAGAGGGGCAGGAGGGGGCAAGATACTTTTCTGATGGTAAGGGCTCAGTCACTAACCCAGTGACTGTATGTCTCAGTTTGGACCCTGAGTTGACTCCGAGTTTTGACTTGGATGTAAAGTGATGCCTCAATGATATGCTCCAAGTCACCGCCTCTCTTTGAACATAAATAGTCTTTGTATAAAAGGTAGACTTTTTGAGAATAATAATAATAATAATAATAATCCTCGGTACAGCGATATACTGTAAAGTGGAATGACAAAGTGTTTTGTGAGCAGACACAGCAGCCAATTTGCAGACTGTAACGTCCCACAAACAGCAATGAAGTGAGCGCAGAATTTTGGGGGGAGGAACGGGGATTGTGGGGGGAATTTTGGTGGGAGGAACAGGCAGACGGGGCCTCGGATTAACGTCCCATCAGAAGTACGGCAATTCCGACAAAGAAGCTCACCCCCAGTCCTGCAATGGAGTGTCGACTTGTGAGCCTGAAACCACAACCTACTGAGTCGGAGGCGAGAGTGTGAGCGACCGAGCCAGTTCACGTTTCACACCCACCTGCACACAATCTTGTCGGTTGGCTTAAACGTTGCATTAACGGTAAAAAAGTCTGTTCCTCCCATTAACGTTCCTGACTGAGGACTTATTTGCAGGCAGTAATCCCGGTAATCCTGACAGCAGTTTCCCAGTGGCTCACACGTCACGTGGCACGAACAAGTAGTCAACCTTTGGCCGCAGTTGTTTTCACATGAATTCTGAGCATCTGGAAACAAAGTGAGAAACATCTGACTCTGCGACATATGCTAAAGATACAGTTATTCGGCTTTCAAATCTCCCCCAAAATATCGGGAAACATCCAAGGTATGGATCAACACGGTCCCACAAGCATTGGGTGTCAACTTGGCTCACTAGGTAGCATGATTGCCTCCGAACCACAAGATTTCGGTCACCTTCCCCTCTGGAAACTCTGGAACACTCTCAGTCATTCTCTCCGCCTTGCCCCCTCCTTCCGCACCTTCAGGTCGCTCCTGAATACCTTCCTCTTCAAGCGTGCCTTCGAAAGCACCATGGAACTCTAGCAAGTTGTTGATGGTAAGTTCAAGTCCAATGTTTTGCTGTGCTAGCGGAAACTCCAGTGCAGCGCAGAGTGACCTCTGCGATGTCAGAACAAGCCGTCCTTCCAAAACAAGTTAACCCAACACAGAAAACTTCGCTCCTCGATTAATAATCCGCGCCCTTAATCTTGGCATTTGGAATGAAAGATCTCCATTTTCTTTTCTCGCTAACTTTCTTTTGTCGCTAGCTTTTAAGTGTTCCGAGACTCTGCTCTGAGTGAAGGGTGCCAAATAGATGAAAGTTGTTACTGTTGTTGAGCCCTGAATTGTTGTGGCACATCAAGCTTTCCACTTGAGCTGCCTAGTTTAATCCTGTTTGTACCCCCAATATTCTACAGTTCCTAACCACTGTCTAAGCCTCTATGAGGAAAATTGACAACAAATACACGCGTACACCCGCAAAAATACACAGTCACATCACTTGAGAGAATATCCCGTGAAGCATCTCCACAAAGTGATAAAGTCCTGCATCAAATGTAAGGGATTATTATTATAATTCATGGTCTCTTTTTCAGCAATGGTTTGTGCCAGACAATTCGACATCCAACCAACACTCTGCCCAAGGAAATGTTTTTTTTATCTGTCCTTTTGGATGAAACGTTGAACCGAGGTCCCGTCTGTCTGTCCAGGCGGACGTTTAAAGATCTCCCGGCACGAATCAAAAAGAGAAGGGAGTGTCCCTCCTGGTCTACAGGCCGATACTCCCCCCCCAAATAAAATTGTTCATTCACTTCACGGTTGTTTGCGGGACATTGCTGTGCGCAACTTGGCTGCCGTGTTCACACACAGAAAAAGCAGTCACTGAACTTTACATTAAATCCTGAGTCGCTTTGAGATATCCTCCTGAGGTGAAAAAGCGCTATACCAAATGTAAGGCTTATTATTAGTATTTTTAACATGCCCTTTAATTCTTCCTGCGATTTTTTTTTAAAAGGTTGGGCGCTTCTCATTACTGATTAGCCAAACTTTGGGCAATAATTTATTATGATTTTAAAGGCTTTGCAATTATACTGTGTGTGTGTGTGTGTGTGTGTGTGTGTATATAAAAAAAACTCAAAGAAAGGAGAGGACCCCAAAGTGGAACAGTCCATTTGGGTTGTTGATACACTGGACTTACAGCCTCGCTTTGTAACGCTGCAAAAACATTTAAAGGTCAACTGCTTGTATTAGACCTTTAACATCCCTGCACTGCCTCAAATTCCAGTCAGTTATTACCTCAAGTGGGTGTTTGGCACCTGCACAAACCTATCATGGTACTTTAAGAGTAACCAAACTGAGTTCCATGTATGTACCTACGTATGTCACTTACTCATAGAAATTTCCCTTCTATGCACTCTCTCTCTCTCTCTCGCTCTCTCTCTGGAAAGTACCGGGCACAGGTTGGCGGGAGCCAAGTCTTGGGGAGCCACAGAGTGGGCTTTTGGGGTAACTGCTGGGACCCTAACCTGCATGAGGGGGTCTACACAAATGCAACTTGTTGTTGTTGTTGTTGAGTTTCCAGCACCTTGTGAGGTCCTCCCGACGTGAAAGGCGCTATACAAATGCAATTTGTGTTGTTGTTGTTGTTATTAACCAGCTAAAACTGCATGGCCAATAGGACAACCCAACCCATTGGGGCTTTGGCACGCAAGTAGACTAGACAAATCGGCCAAAGGACCGTTTCTATCCAATCTTCCCTCGTGATCTTGTAACTGTCCACTTGCACGAATCTGCGCTCTCATAACAAGCGTTGGCGATGACAGTGACAGTTGCCAGTAGCCCCGAGAGTTCAAACCTCCTTTGCTTAAAACACTGCGACGGGGAAAATTGTGAAGGGGTGGATTTCCGTCGGGATCCCAGCCCTCGAATTGACGGTAACCCTTACAACCAAGAGTTAAAGCTCTGCTGTAAGATTCAAATTAATTTTGGTCAAGATCCAATTCAGCAATGGCTGGATGGTTGGTGAGTAACTCTATAACGGTGCCACATGTCGGAAAGTTGCCAGCGAGCAGCTGTGGCGGGCAAGTCACGCATCCGTGCTGATCTCGCTGAAATGTAAGATGGCTTCCCGTGAAAGGAGAGCGAGTCGCACCGGGGGAAGTGAGTGATGCAGGAGAAAAGGAGGGGATTCGAGCCGGGAGGAGAAGACAAACAGAGAGGACCGACACACGAATGGAAATGAATCTTTACAATAATAATAATATTAATAATCCTTGCATTTGATGTAGCGCCTTATCACGTCCTCGAGACGTCTCAAAGGACTATACTGCAAAGCGGAGTGACTGTGTGTTTTGCGGGCGAAACGCGGCGGCTAATTGCACTCAGCGGTGTCCCCACAAACAGTCGTGGATTCAGGCACCAAATTATTATTTTTTTAAATAAAAACAATTGAAACGAAGGAAGCAAAGCCATCAATAAAAAAAGGAAATGAGTGTGAAGCGAATGAAGCAGTAATTTAGAATTAAGTTTCACCATTAAGATAATAATAATCCTTGCATTTGATGTTGAGTCCTGTAGCTCAGTGGTTAGAGCACTCGCCTCTCAAGCGAGACACCTGGGTTCGATTCCAGGCAAGTTTCCTTGCTCCACACACCTGATAATAATCACTCAAGAAAAAAAAAATAATGAATAATTGGTCACTTCAATCCACAACTGTTTGTTGGGACACTGCCGTGTGCAGTTGGCTGTTGCATTTCGCCTGCAAACATACAGTCAATTCACTTTACAGCATATTCTGTGAAGACGTGTAAAGCGCTATATCAAATGCAAGAATTATTATTATTAGTGCCTTATCAGGTCTTCAAGACGTCTCAAAGTGCTTTGCAGGATATAATGTAGAGTGACTGGTATTTTGTGGGCGATATGGCCATATGGAGAGGGTTGCTCTTTAAAGAGTCAGCATAGACATGATGGGGTGAATGGCATTTTTCTAAATGCTGTAAATTCCTATGGTTCGAAGGCAAAAGAAACCAACCCTTGAGCCTTGAAACTCGGGAGAATCTCTAAACATTTCCATTGCAATATCTAAATTGAACCGGCTGTAAAATATGCAAGTCACAAATACCAGGGAGAGTAATTGATTTACAGCCCTCAACAGCTTTATTTTTCCATTAAGATCTGGAACTGACACAGAGAGTAGTTTAGCACATATTAAAGCATTAGTAGGGATAAAGACTTTCGCGTTAGGTGACCTGAACACCTGCCCTACAGATCACAGTCTTGTCAAAATACAGTTTAAAATTGCACTAAAATGTTACACACATTCTATTGCAAATTCATTAAAGCAAGTTGCTCAGTAACAGAACCTACTGTCAGACACTAAAGTTGCTGATGCCCATTTAATAATAATAATTTAATAATTATTATTATTATTATTAAATAATTATTATTAGTTATTATTATAGTATATTCTGTGAAGCACTTCGAGGCATGAAAGGGCACTATATCAAATACAAGAGTTATTATATTATTATTATAATTATTATTGTAAAATGCAATAATAATAATATTATTCATAAAAATAATAATAATAATAATGGTAATATTGAATAAATAACAAGTGATGGTGAGTCAGAGTGAGTGTATTTAATGTGATTTGTATTTGTATTTGTATCGTGGAACCTGGTTGTTAGTCGACTGGCGGATCTCTTTCCAGGGGGTAATAATCCCTCCAAAAAAATAAGAAGAATTTGGTCACTCAAAAGGCGCTATATCAAATGCAAGAATTATTATATTATTAAATATAATTATTATTATAAAATGCAAGCTGACCACTGTGATATTGTGGACAGAAATTCAATGCATTGTTTCTGGTAACATAAAACAACAGCAATCGCCTTTAAGTAATGAACACGTAGTACAAATATTGCTGAGAATAGTATTGAAATTGTCTCCAGATAAAAATTAATCACTCCCCCATCTGCGGGTCGTTGCTGCACTCAAATTGCCTGCTGCATTTACCCTCACACACAGTCACCACATTTTATAATAAATGCTGAGACATCTCGAAGACTTAATGAGACGCTACATCAAACACACAGATTATTATTTATAAACTCGTACTCGAGATAGATAGATAGATAGATAGATAGATAGATAGATAGATAGATAGATAGATAGATAGATAGATAGATAGATAGATAGATAGATAGATAGATAGATAGATAGATAGATAGATAGATAGATAGATAGATAGATAGATAGATAGATAGATAGATAGATAGATAGATAGATAGATAGATAGATAGATAGATAGATAGATATTCTGCCCTGGCAATGGAATGGTGTTTTCACTCCTGCGTGCCTTAAAAATCTGCTTCCGAACAGGCACGTTAACAAATTCTGTCAGAATATCAAATCTTAACAGCACAATGTAAGTTCAACGAGAAGAAGAAAGGAAAAACGAGATTAACAGAGAAAGGAAAAATATTGACCGACAATGGCGATACGCACAAAGTTTTTGCGCTGCCACCGATTTTTCTGCGTTAAACATACCTGCTTCAAGCGAAGAAAACAAGGCGACTCTGATCAGTAGAAGAGCAAATAGACGGATTGTCTGCATCTTGCGTTGTATCATGTTATCAACCACTTTCTCTCACTGATGGTTTCACAGTAAACCCATAGAGTAAGTACGGGTTGCTGAATGAATGAGCTTAAAGTTGCCAAATGGCTTAGCAGGTCTCCAATAAGAAATCACACTGCCATATGTCTCCTGTAAGGGCAACTGAATCAGCCTGGGTCTCGCAGTGCTTTGGAATGCCAACACGGCAAATATAACCTCGGGAGTGAACATTTATACTGACGGATCATTTATTTGACATCATTTTGTTTCAAAGGTCACTCTTATAATCACATGCAAAACCTTATCACTGAACCGCTCAGGTAATCACCGCATCATGTGCTTGGTTATTTCTTGATGTGCTTTTCGTGAGTTTTTGCTTGAAAAGGGAAAGGTTTTAAGGTGCAGCATAAAATCCTTCCAACTATTCGGATAGATATCAGTACATACACAAAGCATCGCTATATATAATGTCACTCCCACCTTTGCCTGTATTATTTTGGGCAGCTTTGACTGATGTAAACAAATAAGATTGTGAAGCACATTGCTCAAAGCTATTTGCTCTGATGCCAGTGGTTGTCTTACACACTAAACACAGTCACTCCACTGCACAGTATAATGTCGCAAATCTCTTTGAGATGACCTCCCAATGTAAAAGGCGCTGTATCAAATGCAAGGATTATTATTATTGTTATTGTTATTACAATACAATGCAAATTTACATTTATGCAGCACCTTTCACGTCGGAAGGACATCCCAAAGCACTTGACAGTCCTGGTTTAGCACCTGAGCTGAGGTTTGAAGCTGAGGGGAGTGGGTAGGGGGAAAATGACCAAAGGCGCAGTCGAAGAGGGAGCTGTTTTTATCTGTAATTTGCAATTTGAGTACAGCAATGACCCGCAGATGGGGAAGTGATTACTTTTTATCTGGAGGCAATTTCAGTACTATTCTATTTTTAACATAGCTCAGTGACCTGTGACCGTAGCGCCTTATCACGTCTCAAAGCACTTCATAGAATATACTACAAAGTGAATTGACTGTATATTTTGCGGGCGAAACGCGGCAGCCAATTCCACACAGCAGCGTCCCCACAAACAGTTTGTGGATTGAGTGACCAAATTATTATTATTTTTTTTGAAGGGATTATTAGTTCCGGAAAGGCGATCCGCCAATCAACTAGCAACCACTAGGAACTAGCTACTGCTAGGAAAACGGACCTGTGTGGAGTAAAGAAAGTTGCCTAAGGTTTTGCCCTGCCCGGGAATCGAACCCGGGTCCTCTCGCTTGCGAGGCGAGTGCTCCAGGACTCCAAAATATTCCCCTCCCTGCTCCCCCCCCAACTACAACACAGCAGCCGGGTGGGAGGAGGTGGAGAGGGGGGGGAATTGCAGCTAACTGACTATAAGATTGGTCAATTCAATGTGGACAAGAGGGAGAATCTGTGACCTTTCCAGTGTGTGTGAAGCAGAGCCAAATAAACAGAGCCACCCGCTGAGCTATTTGTGGAGTTCTTGGTCTCCAAACCACACCGTTAAATATACCTCTCACTTTCCCTCGATGTGAAAACGCAACTTATTCCACATTTGCCCCCTTCTCACATTTCATTGGGATGTGGATTACGAGCAGGGGAGGGCGGGCTGTTGATTTCCACTTGCTCAGATGAGGTTCGTGAACCAACACCAACACCTGTCAAGATCACTCTAACTTTCACCATTGATTAATTCTGTTTCTTGGGAAAGAGAGCAAGTTTCAACATGAAAATGAATGCCCTTACACCTGGGGGAGGGTGACTTCACGTTAATGCTCAACTTGGGAGGGTTTTGTTGAACAAGCATTTATTCTGTAGCTCGGTGGTTAGAGCACTCGCCGCTCAAGCGAGAGGACCCGGGTTCAATTCCCAGGCAGGATGAAACCTTAGGCAAGTTTCCTTACTCCACACGCCTCTGTTTTACCTCACAGTATGTAGGAACCTGGTTGTTAGTCGATTGGCGGATCGCTTTCCGAGGGTAATAATCCATTCCCCCAAAATATATAATGTGGTCACTCAGTCCACGACTGTTTGTGGGACGCTGCTGTGCGCAATTGGCTGCCGTGTTTCACCCACAAAATATACAGTCAATTCACTTTACACTATATTCTGTGAAGCGCTTTGAGACGTCTCACTGGCATGATAAGGCGCTTTATCAAATGCGACGATTATTATTATTATCCTCCAGATTTTGGTTGTGAAATTGTAACAAGTGTTTCCCATTGAAAACCCGGCAGCTTTCAAGGGAGCGTTTTTGAACGGATGTCAATTTGATTGACAAATGTCTTTCACGTCAAGAGGACATTCCCAATAACGTCACATGACATTCTGTGATTTGTAGCCGTGGTGTATTTTGTAGGTGAACAGGGCAGACAGCAATGTCCCACAAACAGCCTTGACATAAATTTAATGTGAAGAATTGTCGGCCAGTACATTGCGAGAAACCTTCTTTCTCTTTTCAGATAGTGCCACGGAATCTTTCGCGTCCATCTGAACAGGTGGAGAGGACCTCAGTTTAATGTCTGATCGAAGGGCATCATCCCCCAAAAAATACAGCATTGTATTGGAGTGTCAGATCATTTTCTCATGTGATGCTTAAAGTGAACAAATGGCTGGCTCCCAAAAATTGCACCGGGACATTATTTTTCCAATGTTTGTCCGTTCGGATCTCAAAGCAATCCTTTCCAGTGTATCGTTTTTCAAGTGGCACAGGGAAATCATAGCCTCTAGCTCATCTGAGGCAAATTCTGCTCTCTATTAGTCATATGCTATAAATTACAAACTACTCAACACGGTGAAATACCCTTCAACACTGAGGGGATAAGGTGATCAGCATGATATCAGGGTGGTCTAACTGACGGCCCGTGGGCCACATCCGGCCCGTGCATCGATTTAATCCGGTCCCCTCCCTCCATTTCACCTGGCCCAGTCTCTCGTTCTTCACCTGTCAATGTTCTGTTATCTTTCTGGAAGGGAAACACAAAAATATTGTTTATGTGGCCCGGGGACTTTTCTCAAAGAGGGCATCCGGGCCTCGGCAGCCAAAAGAAAAGGTTGGACCTCCCTGATATGTATTATTCTGTTATTAATTCACATGATTTGTTTTAATGAATTTGCTCACCAGAAAATTATAATTAGAACTTTGAATTATCATTTATCGTGTAAAGCTTAAGACATTCCAAAAAATTATATATTTTGTATATTATCTGTCGATCCGATCGTCGGTCGATAGATCGATAGATTGCTAAATCTATGTATTTAGCTATCTATCTAGCTATTTATCGTGGGTGAAACGTGGCAGCCAATCACACACTGCTGTGTCCCACAAACAGTCGTGGATCGAGTCACCAAATGGGGTTGTAAAAGCATTCAAACAACAAAAGAAGCAACGAAGAAGCAATATGTTTGAAACAATTTTGATATCGTCAGCAATTGGCTGTACTTGGGTGTGAGGTAAAACCTTTAATTATTAATCGATGTTAACACTCAAAGCAGACAAGGCACTATAATTCATTGACATAAAGTCAAGGTCCGAAGAAGGTAATTTTTGCCATAATCAACCTGTCCTTTCCTGGTATGTGAAGCAAAGGTCCATTTGTTAGTTATTTGCTTAAAGTTGAGGTATGAAGGAAAATGTTTCGAGTTTGCGATGTGCCAAAAAGTGACACAAAATACACTTATCGATTTCCAGATCCTCTCACTAGTCTACAAATCCCTTCACGCTCTGGCGCCTCCCAATCTTTCTGACCTGCTTCCTTCCCTCTCCACTCCCCGCTGCCTCGCTCGGCTGGCCTCTCCTGCTTGTCCCTCATCCCCTCCGCTCCACCAGCAGCCACTACTCCCCGAAGCTTTGGAACTCTCTCCCCCAATCCCTCCGTCTTGCCCCCTCCTTCCCCTCTTTTAGATCACGACTGAAGACCTTCCTCTTCGACCTTGCTTACGGTCACCTCCTCCCTCCCCTTGGGCTCCACGTCAGGCTCCACCACTGTTAAGCGCTCCACGTGATGGGCACTATGTAAATGCACGTTGTTGTTATCGTGTTGTTCCTGCCAAAGTCAACGGGTTCTTTCGTATCTACTTTTTCTACAGTTGTCTCTCAAGTCTCAACCAATCTTTTTTGCATTTACGAACACTGGCAGCATCAGCATCCATGGATGTACACTCCACCTCGCCAAGCCAGTCAGGAACCTGGGCGTTTGGTTCAACCCTTAACTGTCCTTTCTCCCCCATATCCATGCCATGACCCCCTCTGCCTTCCCCCACCTCCGCAACAGTGCTCGACTCTGTCACCCCTCATACACGCAATCGTCACTTCAAGGCTCGACTATACAAACTTCCTCCTTATGGGTCTCCCCAACTCTTCCCTCCATAAGATCATTCAGAACTCTGCAGCTCGTGTCCTCTTCCGCACCAGGCTCCGTGACCCCATCACCACCCTCACCCAACTCCACTGGCTACCCATCTCTCAGAGGATAGAATTCAAAATCCTCGTCCTCACTTTCCACCCCCTCCGTGGCCTTGCCCCCTCTTACAGCTCTGACCTCAGCAGGCTCCGGCCTGCTCCATGTCTCCCACCCCACCCGCCCCACCCTCAGCAGCCGGGCTTTCAGCCTCTCCGTCTCCACCCTGTGGAATTCCATCCCACAATCCCTTCCCTTATTCCCTCTCTTGCCTCCATCAAGGCATGAATCAAGACCCTCCTTTTTGACCATGCCTTCAGCCGCCCTCCTACCCTCCCTCATCCCAACCCTGCCCACTGTCATGCTCAGGTCCTGATCCCCGACTGTTCAGCGCCTTGGGACGTCCTCCTGACGTGAAAGGCGCTTTACAAATGTCATTTTGTTGTTGTTATGTAGCGCCCTTCACGCAGGGTAGCATCCCAGATCACTTGATATTCCAAAAGGATGTCTTTCATTGAGTGAACCTGTTCAAGCAACCACCCAGGGGCAACCCAGTTCGCACACCTTTAATCAGAGGCTGGTTTTGAACAGCACAAACTGCATAGCTTACCACCGTAATTACTGGCAAGCTCCTTATTGAGCTAGGGTCACCCAGGACTTTGTCTTGCAGAGTTAAATAGTAATAATAATAATAATAATAATCCTTGCATTTGATATAGCGCTTTTCACGTCGGGAGGACGTCCCAAAGCGCTTCACAGAACATACTGTAAAGTGAATTGACTGTATATTTGTG